TTAAACCATGTGTATACTGATCATACAAATGATTAATGATAAAGACCTATTATTGTCCAATCCTGAGTCAACAATAGCATGCACAAAGTATTTTTGTCTCCCTACTGGGCATTTATGAACTCCCTACATACAGCATGGAAATTCTTAATGGTAAACTGTTGAGTTGTTTGGCATTTGTTAATACGAGTGTACTTCCTGGTAGCTACGGGGTCTCACGTATTGCTTCACACTGTTTGCTATGTCGGTTAACACCACTTTGTAACCGGAAGGATTGAACTGACATTTCTTTACACGGTAGGTCAGCTTGTACCCAGCCCATGCAAACATTAAGCCGTGGGAGATCAGCAGAGGACACATGAATGTCAGCTCTAGCTTGTCTGCTCCTATATCCAGATCGTCGAACCACTCGTACTCCAGAACATCACAGAAACCGATAAGCAGAAAATGAAAACTCAGTGAGATGTTTGCAACGGCCAGCTTGCAAGGCTGCACATAGGATGTTAATGTGGCGAAACACATCGTTACGAAAACCTGTGAAATTATTGGGTTGTAAAGAAGAACACTTTCGAGGAAAGTTTCTGATTAACTCATAAAACACAATCCCAAAGTAGAGGAAACCCTGCCAACCATCTGTAGTCACGTGTTCCATTCAGACCGTCTTTCAGGTGACTGTTGAGAGCCTCGACAAATGCCGTGATGGCCAGCCTTTTCCTCGCACTCACAAAACGGGACAGATATCTGTACAGCCTCGTGGGGTATATAGTGAGAAGAAGAGAGGGGATTAATGTCACGGTTATGACAGGCACCGCTGATATCGATGTGTATAGAATATGTGCAGTGCTATACACCTCAATACTTGGCTGATACAGAAGACCTCGTTTGTAAAAGCTGTTGTTGTATCTGATAATTTTATGAGCAGTTTGAATTGCAGCTGCGGTTGTTAAAACTTGAACATTTGAGAGTAAAAGATGAACGATGCAAAGGCGTGAATGACGGCATCACTGGTGACTGCTGTGATGTTGGTCTTGTTGAGGATGATGCTGAATGGCTTCCAGAGAATGTGAATGATTCTGCAGTTCCTTCCATGTAGCTCCATCAGAATACAGATGGTGATGACAAGAACAATCGGATAAGTGGCTGGCACAATATTTAGCATCATCAGCTGGATATTTGTGAGCTTATCACTGATGCAAAAAGGTGCAATGACAGACTGGAAGTAATCCAAGCTCCAAAATTGAGACAGTGTTAGTAAGAATTTAAACAAAGCTCTGATGGAGGTAGACACATGTGATTGTATGTAGGCAAAAACGTATGGATTTTCCTTTCTCCACTGGATGTAAACCTGACAGAACATAATGTAACCCAGTAAGGGACCTGATGTGATGTTCAAACGGAACACAACAAGACAGATGAAAAACAGTGTTGTTGGGAGAAGCTCGAGGACAAAGTACAGTGTAATGGCATATCCTGAAGAGAGTTTAGAGCAATTGGCACATTCCATGTCCAATGAGTAAACTGCAGGACCATATCCATCGATACATTCTCCACAGAGCAAACCTTTTCTGTTGTAAGGTCCACACATTACATCATCCAACATGTCAGGATCACTGGGCATCTGAGAATACATTCTGTTAGTCCTATTGACTGGATGTCCTAACAAACAAACACCGAAATAATAGTACTGGTCTCCCTGTCCCGAAGTGGTTGCGCAATAACCATTTTTTATCAGAACCTTGTTGTCGTCTGAGCAATCCAGCCCATGTCCACACTCACACTGGTGTGTGGAGTTGTTGTAGTAGAACCAGGTGGGACAGCTGGTGTTACTAGCAGATGCCGAGGTCAAACGCACCACACCAACTAGGAGGACGGCGGCAATGATGGAGCAACAATCTCTAACCTTTTTCGGAACCATGCTGGAACTGTACTCCGATTTTTCTACACTGCATTAATATCTCTTTTCCCCTGTTTATATCAGTATGGAACGTTTCTTTTGCCCCTGTCAAGACCATTCTGACCCCTAAAAGATACACATGCACAGCCGTGTTTTGATTACAAACGTATCTTGATCCTTGTAATACATCATTGTTTGTCATCACAGAACAATACCTGAGCCCTGAAATATAGTTGCTTGTGTTCTAGCTCTAAAAGAAGCTTAAGCGAGGGCAACCACAATAGAATTTCTCTTCCCTTCCTCCTCCCTTTCCCTCCCTCCCTCCCTCCCTCCTGGAGGACTGGATCATATGCCATTGCATGTTTGTCAATACTTAATCTGCATGTGTAACTGATTACACCAATATAAACTTGAGAGTAGAATGAACGATGCAAAGGCGTGAATGACGGCATCACTGGTGACTGCTGTGATGTTGGTCTTGTGCAAGAGTTAGTTTGCTCTTGGAGAATGCGCTAGTCGACAATAGCATGCATATTATAAGCATGCACAGTACAGCAACAGGTGTCCCAACCACATGCCATTGTTTCCATATTAACTTCCAGTCGACAGATGTCGGAACCGGAAATGTGCATTTGAAAGCTTTCAGCCACAGTAATTCCCGTTTAAGTCGCAGTATTTCCAGTTATAAGTGAGATTAAACAGGTACAGAATGAAGGACGCAAGTGTCAGAAGACTGATTGGAAAGTCTGCAACTGCGTTTAATACATGGCTTTGCGTTTGTCACAGGATTCATTAATCAATTCACACAGGTCTAACAAACATTACATTACAATAGACAGGATGACAAGTCAACAATAGCATGCACAAAGTATTTTTGTCTCCCTACTGGGCATTTATGAACTACCTACATACAGCATGGAAATTCTTAATGGTAAACTGTTGAGTTGTTTGGCATTTGTTAATACGAGTGTACTTCCTGGTAGCTACGGGGTCTCACGTATTGCTTCACACTGTTTGCTATGTCGGTTAACACCACTTTGTAACCGGAAGGATTGAATTGACATTTCTTTACACGGTAGGTCAGCTTGTACCCAGCCCATGCAAACATTAAGCCGTGGGAGATCAGCAGAGGACACATGAATGTCAGCTCTAGCTTGTCTGCTCCTATATCCAGATCGTCGAACCACTCGCATTCCAAAATCTGACAGAAACCGATAAGCAGAAAATGAAAACTCAATGAGATG